TGGAATCAGAACCTTTCATCTTTGCTTCACATGACACTTTTGCCACTCACCACTCGATCTTTTTCAAGATAGGGAACCCACTTGGCCATGGTGACAAACTTGCCACTATTATGTGGGGTGATTTTTAACATGATATGGGAATATCAAACCAGATTGGGCGCTACCAATATGGGCTGACCATCAAAGGACATGAACAATCCTATACAAAAGTGTTATCCCCTAGTGTACATTTACAGATTTACTTGTACCAGAAAGAAATCTTATGAGAAGACTGGCATCAGCCATTAATTTGAGAGTCACATTATCTAACGCTTGAATTATATGTCATGCAACATGTAAGCATAATGTTGAGGTGTGGATTCTATCTAATAGTGAAGGTTAAGTTGTTGTTGCAACTTCGGCCAAGGGCGAAGCCTTCCTAGAGCACAGTCTCGGCTTCAACCTAGAGCGCAGTAGTTAGCTTCGATCAGGAGCGGAGCTCTGAGAAACCGAAGAAGAATCCAAGGCTTCGGCACGAAACCTAGTTTGAGTGAAGTCAAGATTTGGCGTAACAAAGGGTTGAGTCAAGAAGCATATATATTCAATAAAGCCTCACACTAAAGCATAGCCATTTTTAGCGAAGCTTGTCATTTGAGCTTCGCCCTTCGGTGCTCTCCTCACCTCTAGTGATCTAAGAGCAGCCCAAATCCCAGTATGTGTGTTTTTGTGGAAACGTCAAATATATATATATATATATATATATATATATATATATATATATATATATATATATATATATATAAAAGGAGCACAACGCTCAGCAAGAAACTAAGACGCAGGCAAAAGTACAGAAAAAACAGAACATAAGTAGAGGGAATTACAAAATAGAGTGATTAATATGAGTAAAAATGAACAACTTCCGGTGTGTTGACTTGGTATTCTTAAAAAACCAAGGTGGGTATGTAATTCAAGGCCCAAACCATGCCAATGATGTCATAGGCCCATGAGTTCATCCCAAGTTAAGCTTAGTAAGTTCATGAGTTTATTAGTTGACATTAAGCACATATAAAATCATTATTGGGAAAACAGCAAAATAAATTAAGAAAGACTCCTTTATATAAAACACGTGTTCTTAAAACTTCATGAGAGTTACAATAAGTATGAAAACATATTAGTGTTAGCCTAATAAGATTTTGGGCATTATTTTGTATTGCGTATTATATTGGCCCATAATTAGCTAGTCTATAAATTATGTATTTCTCTTTCATTGTATTCGTACTTCTCATTTAATAATAATATGAAACCATAGTCGTTCTATGTCTTTTACTTTTTACTTCACATTGTATCAGAGATCGGTTGATCATTTGTATTTTCGATTTTTGGGGGCGAGTTTTAGTAGGCACGGCGTTGCGTGGATCGAACTGTTCAATTTTCAAGGTTTTGGTTATGATTTCCTGCTTCGTTTATGAATTATGTTTGGTATGATTTGTTTGATTTTGTTGATTTCGAGATCTTGATTGTTGTTGTTGCTATTTGTATTTGTTGTTGGTTTTGGTTATTTTACTATTATTGGAAATATTGCCCCGAAAGATGATTCTCTTCGGTCCATTAGTATCCAACTCGATGGTAAGAGTTATGCATATTGGAGTTATGTTATGAAGAATTTCTTGCGAGGCAAGAATATGTGGGGGATTGTTAAAGGTGACAAGAAAAAACCAACAGATGACAAGGCTGGAATTATGCAACCATATTGGATTCATGGGAGACTGATAACTCTAAGATCATTACTTGGATTAATAATTATGTTATCGAGTGTATTGGTACTCAATTGGTGAAGTATAACACAATAAAGGAGGTTTGGGATCATTTTGGATAGGTTGTATACTCAGTCTAATTTTGCAAAGCAGTACCAGAAAGAGTTTGATATTCGAGCCCTTCAACAGAACAATATCAGTGTTCAGGAATTATATGCAACTATGTCGGATTTGTGGGATCAACTGGCTCTTACAGAACCTGCTGAGTTGAAGTCTTTCAAGATTTATATTGATAGAAGGGAAGAACAACGTTTGGTTTAGTTTTTGATGGCATTACATTCAGATTTTGAAGGCTTGTGTGGATCAATCTTGCATCGCACACCTCTTCCCATTGTTGATTCACAAGTTGATTGTGTGTGTGTATATATATATATATATATATATATATATATATATATATATAGAGAGAGAGAGAGAGAGAGAGAGGATATACTGGATTTGCAAAATGAATCAACAAAATGAATTTTTTTTAAAATACAACAATAATACGATTTAGCAAAAAAAATGAATTGATGTTTCATTTTTGCGATGATTCACTAAAGTTTTCCGAAAAATGAATCAAAACGTGATTCAGTAAAAAAAAATGAATCATAAATGTTTTTTCGAAGAATTTTTTTATGAATTATATTATTTTTATATCATCTAATGATTTATTACCAATGATGCATTTGTTACCATTCCTGCCAAATATTTACTTCTTATTTTGATCTTGATTATATATATATATATATATATATATATATATATATATATATATATATATATATCAAAATTGACATCATTTCCAGCTTCATCGTATCAACTACTAAATTTTGCTTGAATTTTCAAATGCATCATTGCCTAGGCTTTCGTGATACCTATATATATACAATTTATGTGTGATTATTATGTCACATGTTTAAACTTTGATATAATATTTTCTAACTAGGTGTGAGACATATGTACTACATAGGTTCATTAGAAAAATTAAATATCAATGTCTAAACATTGAACATTTTTATAGTAAAATTTTGAAATAAATAAAAACTGAAATGATGAATTAGATAGTAGGTTATAGTAAGATGGAAAATATCTTTAAACTTACTTAATAAAAGCTACATCCTTTTGATCAATAAATTATTAAAAAAAAACGATACATCATCTTTATAAAAAAAATGGTAATATTCAAAACAACGCAGCATATTACCCAATTTTTCTTAAAAAAACAATCAAATTATTTTCATATTTACTAAAACCGTTATATTTTTTTAATTTATTCTTTTGTTATATCCGTAAAACCAATAGTATACTTCGATAAATGCTAAAAAAAACATATGAAATGATTACTTTTGAAACATTGTTCTTAACAGGAAGGAATAATTATTAAGGAATTCTATAACAATATTTTCCAATAGGATCTTAATAAGTACAATGTTATAAAATGATTGATTTTGAAAGTACATTGTTATGAAATGATTGTTTCTGAAAATACAATGTTATAAAAGGACTATTTCTGAAAGTACAATGCTATATTTGATTGTTTTTTTCTCAAGTTTGTCAAGTAAGATGCAAGCAATAGCAACATACTTTCATTTGATTTGTATTTACATAAAAACATCATACAATTCCATTGCTACTTAATTTTATAAGTTTATTAATAAATTTAAAGTACAACATTTTTATTTATAAAATTTCACATTTTTATTTATTGGAATTTAAATCTCTCAAGAGAAATAAAACAATTTATAACTTTATATTTAAATTGATTTCCACCACACAATCTCAATGTTGAAGTTTTATGGTGAAGCGTTAGTATTAGTTTAAGTCCACACAAGAAGTATCAAACTTCATAAATTTCATATGAAGGAGTAAAAAGGTAAAATGCATAACTAATAGTATTACACAGAACTCCATAAATAGGATTTACAAAGTTGGCTTGTTTTTTTTACCAAACCATCTTTATGTGTCACTAACCAATCCAGAGAGACTTGAAAGCCGGCTGTAGATAACATATCTATAAAAAATAAATAAATAAATCAGTTCATGTACGGAAATCAAACAAACCCAATTCCTTGAAAAAAAATATTTTAAGGTGTTAAAAACTTGTTGAGTTGCTCTAACATTATTGTCGCCTTATTTATAAAACCGATATTCTTGCAAATTTAATAAATATTTATATACTATAAATGTAGGAGATTAAAAAGAGTAGTAAAGAAACGAATCGGGAAGTGTTAGTTTACACATTTAATAGAATGAATAATTTACACATATAATAGACGTATTAATTATTGAAATTGATTTTAATAAAAAAGTAAAAATATAGACGTATTAATTATTGAAATTGATTTTAATAAAAAAGTAAAAATATCATAATAACATGTGAAATTTAAGAAATTCTAAAGGGTTTATGCTACAAAAGTTATTGTATATACAACTTTTTTCTATTATAGTCTCAGCTTTATTTTTTGTTCCTTATTTGCCATTATATTTTAGAAAACATCTCATTTTCGGGCCTTTGGCCGGTCACCAATAGGTGATGATGACATGTCGGTTTTGTATTTTTTTTTCGGTTTACATTTTGCCCCAACATTTACGCATGAGTTTGCATTTAGCCCTAATGTTTACGCATGACTTTGCATTTAGCCCCAACATTTTTTTTATTCCCCATTTGCCATTACTTAAAAAAAATCATTTTAGCCCTTAGCCAGTCACGGATAAGTATTTTGTCTAAGGGCGTGTTCGGCACGGAGCGTTTGAAAGCTTCTATCTTCTAGCGTTTGACAAAACGCTCTGTTTTGAACAGAAAGCCTTGTTTGGCACTACAAGCTTGTAGCGTTTAGTTTAAACAAAACGCTCAAAATTCAAATGTTGTTTCACGTAGTGTTTAATAAAACGCTACAAGCTAGAAGCTACTCACTACCTGCTACTAACTATTTTTGCCGAACACGCCCTAAATGTTATAAGGTTGTTTGAACTTTGAAGTCAATATCAACATTTGGCTTAAGAACATCTATTCATCAACTTCCGATACCGTTAGACCAAAACCTGCTTTCTAATCAAACATTTATTGTAACTTATAAATGATAATCCACAATCAATAAACATCCAACAAATGCCATTTTATAAATGGAAAATTCAAATACAAAAGAAACAAAATCAATTATGAAAAACTATGATAGCTTTTAAACTTGCATGCTCTTTAAATAGTAAACCCCTTCCTCTTTCTCATCACCAATAATCCCCACAAGAACACTCTCCATTCCTAAAATGATGAAACCGTATCCGATCCCTAATCAAAACCTCTCGTTTATAAACACTCGAAACATGTTTCATAAAAGAGTGGCAATCTTCACAAGATCTTAAATTTTTCACAATCCTAATTATACTCCCTTGTTTCATTTTCATCAATCCAAAAGATACTGCAAGCTTCTCACTATGGTGAAGCAACTGTGAAGCTTTCTCTTCATCATCTATTTCAAGCAACACTTCTGATAATTTCGGATCATAACCACTACCCTTTAATCTCTCCTCTATTTCTTCCAACTTTTTATAAATACTTTCTGCCTCAATGTTACAAGTACTTCCAGCTGTAAATTGGTAGATTTCACCATTGATTTCAATTCGACTATACCCTGATGGTTTCACAAGCCCTTTTTTGTTCATTAAACTTCTCACTTTTGCTTTGTTTTTCCATTTCCCTTTTGATGCGTATACATTACCAAGTAACACATAAGTCCCACAATCAGAACAAGAATCTTGAAACTGTTCGATCAAATGCTCCAATCTTTCTGCGTCTCCATGAACCTTACAACCCCAAATCAAAGATCTAAACATTACAGAATCGGGTTCGATTGGCATTGATTTTATAAACTTTTGGGCTTCTTCTAGTTGTCCAGATCGAGCAAGTAAATCTACTATGCATCCGTAATGTTGTAAAGTTGGTTTTAGTTTATAAACTTTCTTGATGTTCTTGAAATGATGTAAACCTTCATTAACCCATCCCATGTTCCTACAAGCAGATAATACAGCAGTCATTGTCTTCTCATCTGGCTTTATTTCAAGATTCTTCATATCCTCAAACAATTCAAGAGCTTCTTTGCATAGTCCATGGCTTGAAAGTCCTGATATCATTGCTGTCCAAACATAAACATCTTTATTGTCTGCTTCATTGAAGATTCTCATTGCACTATCTATGCACCCACATTTTGAATACATGTCAATAAGAGCAGTGACAACGTTCTTTTTTAACTGGGTACCTTTAAGATTAACAAAGTCGTTGACTTTTATGCCAACACTCAAAGCTCCAGTATCAGCACAAGCTCTAAGAACAGAAAGGACAGTAACGTCATTTGGCTCAAAACCCTCCATTACCATCTTATCAAACAATCGTAACCCCTCAAGGGTCATTTTGTTGTCAACATAACCATTGATTACTGAAGTCCAAGAAACCACGTCTCTCTCAGGCATTTTATCAAACACTTTGGATGCAAACCCCATTTGGTCACAACCGGAATAGAAATGGATCAGGGCATTTTGGATATACAAATCGGGGGAAAACCCAGACTTGTATATCAACCCATGGAGCTGTTTTCCGAATCTTTTTTGTTTTAGTTTGGAGCAAGCTTTGAGGACGAATGGGTAAGTAAACCTGTCGGGTGTAGGGGAAAAGGGGTCTTGAGAATTATGCCAGGTGAGGAAGAGGGAGATTGACTGAAACGGGTCAGAAGAGTCGGAGTAAGCTCGTATCATGGTGTTATGGAAATAGGAGTTCGTAGGGGTTTGTAGGGAGTTGAGAATGTGGCGGGCGTAGGTGAGGTTGCCGGAGGGTGATAGAGCTGTGAAATTGAATATTTTGCTTAGGTTTTGGGGATCCGTTTGTTGGTGTTTCAGTAATTGAGCATGTAGCTGTGTCGCTTGCGCCATTGTTGCGATTTCCATGTCCCTGTAAGCTTTGTAAAAGAGAGCTGGCGCAGGAATTTATACTCACTGTTCTTCCCTGTATGTTATTAGGGTACACGATACTTTGGGTCCAAAAAGTTAATTATTATCGAAGTTTTCAGTATAATTATCATCGAATTATATAAAAGTTATTTAATCTAATTCTACCCTAATAAATAAACATTTTTTTCATAGACTTATTTATTTTGTCACATATTATTTTGTAGTTATTTTAAATTAATTTATTTTATTTATCATTTTATGGTTTTTTCTTATTTTATTGAATTTTATATAATATTTAAATATAATAATTGCAATAAATATAATAATAAATGCATATCAATTTCATTAATGACCTATCTTTTAATTTCAAAATTCTTAAATTAAAGTGTTATTAGTTTCCTTTGTTTATTTATCTAAATTATTTATTTAAATTTATAAAAAAAAAACACTTTGATTATAATAATACAACTAGATTATGACCCGCGTTAAACGCGGAAGAAAAAAAAAATACATATCATATTAATAGGCGGCATTTTATTTGGTGGAATTTTAATAAAAAAATCTTAATTAGATTCATTTTTAGAGTTTTTGAACCAAACTTATTAAATAAAAATATTTAATATTTATATTAGAACAATTTGTTTTTTTAGAACAGTAATATTTAACACAAATGATCCACATGATCTTTGTTCTTTATTTTATCACAACTTGATGCGACTCATTGATTAAAACATGTTGTACAGTAGCTTTATGACTAACTTTGTTCCAAGTAACAAACCCCTATTGATGAAACATATTTTGTCTGTTAGATCTAGTAAAGATGTGCAGACATATAATGAATGGAAAATCTAAATTTTTAGTGACAATCTTCTAATGTGTGATTGAATTATGACAAAACTGATAAGAAATAAATGAAATATCAATTAATTTGATTAAAACCCATATAGATACATCCAACATCATGGAAAAAGATTTGAATTTTCTGATATATGTCTTGGAATTGACAATTCCTTTGTTTAACATTATAGAAGAATTTTCATCTACTTACATGGATAGCTACAACAAAACAAAGATCATTATTTATGATGAGTTTGGAAAAATGAAATACAAAGAATCAACTTATTAATGACCAAAAAAAAGAAGCTTTCTTAAGGAAAATGAAGAAAAATATGGAACTTTACTGAACATGGTTCCCTCTCTAAAAGGTCATTTGAAACATCATGTCCTTTTGTCTATTTCATCATGTTTCTTCTTTTTCCTTCCAACCTTTTTTAGCATCTTCCCAAATTCATACGAATATAACCATGGTTCCCTCTCTAGAAGGTCATTGAAGTTTGTTGATTTAATAACCTAATGCATCAAAAGGACATCGATCAATGAAGAATTTGGAAAAAAATGATAAAATAGTGCTAAAAGGTCACATATGTATATATGAGTATTTTATTTCTTTTTATGTGGATTCAGATGAAGCATATTTTAATCTCCAAAACCACATTTTGTGTCAAAAGGGAATTTAAATCAAAACAATCACCAAGTCTAATTAGCCAAATGATGTATCATGTAGATATTCGAGTAGGAAATTACATATTACAAAAGAAAATGATTTGTGTGATGAGGTAAAGTCTGTATATAGGTATATAACTATAAGAGTTAGGGCACCAAACCAAATGAAAGCCATAGAGCTAAAAATAAAAAAATCATGAAATTGTTTATTACATATGCAGATTTTATGGGCAATTCAGAACCATAAATCCTCTTATAATGCTCTTTCACAAACCTCTAGGAATAATACTCTCGGATCTTCTTGCGTTCCATTTCTATTTCTCAAAAAGCTTGTTTCGGTTTTGTCAGTAGGTTGACTTAATTCTGGGAAATGCTAAGACCCATTGGGATATGAGGGAACGGTTTGTGAGGCTACATTTGGTTTCTAGAGGGAAATACAAATCCAAAATTATAACTGATCCCCATTTCCTGCTTCTGATTTGATAAAGGTGAAATTAAGGTTTGTTTGTGAGTAGAGTAATTGGGATCCAAATTAAAGATGAAATCTTGGTTGCTACTACTTGCAAAGTAACGTTTTTGACATTACTTTGATTCATACAGATACAGGTGACAAAATCAATAAAATAAAAGAACAATGTGACTGAAAGAAGTATGAACATAAGATGTGTGAAATGACAAATTAATTCTTTGAAGAGGCGTCCTCGTTTTTGCAGAAATGAAAAGATGTGTGATTAAATTGTGATAAAACTACAAATCAATTTAAAAAGTAAACAATGAGTGAAAGATAATTAGAGAAAGCTCTAAAATGACAATTAATAAAAATAGTAAAAAAAATACATCAAGTAATTTAAAAGCAAATAAGTTATTAGGTAAAAAAGCATATTATAATTAACAGTAATAAAAAGAGTTTCAATTGCGTAAAACGTAACCCCACTAATGTATATTATGTTTTAGCATTGTACTTTTCAAAGGACTCATTTTATAGCATTGTACATTGTAAACTGACATTTTTTGACCGATTGTAATACATGACAATTAAACAAATAAGTGTTCACACTTTAGGTTTAAATGTCATAACTTTAAAGTGCAATGCTAAAAATGATAAAAATGAAAAACACAAACATATTAACTGGCAATTGAAAGCTAAAATGTAATTAATTGTGAAACAATGAAAATACAATGTAAAATGTAATTGAAAACAGAAATAATGAAAAAAATGAAAATCGAAATAATGTAAAATGTAATTGAAAGTAAAATGTTATTAATGTAGAAAAAATTATAAAGAAAGTAATAGCAATGTACTTTCACATCCCCATCATACATACCTTAATGCTTTGAAGGAGAGAGTGATACAAACACAAAAAATCGTCACTATAAAAAAAATATGTCAAAGTACAATGTTTTTATAGGAAAAAACAATAAAAAAAATTAAAAAAATTTATGTTTAACATGTACAGACGGAGAAGGAAAAATATAACTGACATATTAGATGAATGTGAAGCTTGAAGTTATTGTTCTTCAAAGTCTGCAATGGCTTAATGAGAAATCGAACGTGTGAAATAGAAATTGAGAAAGGGAAAAAGTTTTTTTACATAAAAAAATATTTAGTTTTAGCAGCAAAATCTGGTGACATATTTCAAAATTCGAAATTCCATGATTAGTATGGACAAATTTGGTATGTTACTTATGGCATAAGGCATACATATGGTTTATGGTTATGAATACACCATAATTGAACTTTCCAGAACTCTGAGATAAGTACGAATACACCAGCACAACCACGTAGTGACAATAAGCTTAAGAAATTGATCCACCTCAAAATCAATGCAATTTCATTTTCTGCCACCAATAACCATATAATTTTTGAGGAAACGCTCCAAGATCAACTCAACAATTGAATAAGAACTACCATTGAGCAGGGACAAAAAATTCAGTAATAGGGTCAAAGGCACAAGGGCAATTTCGCCAAAATTAAGTATCTTTAACATAAAGCGGAAGTATACATTATAAATTGATCGGGTACAATTTTCTAAATAAAGTTACCCAAGAGCAAGCAAGCAACCACAACATGAAGTGGGATAGTATTATACTCAAGGGAAATTTCATCTAACCTGAAAGGAAAAACCAAGAACCAAGAACAAAACACGCCAAAGTACCCCCAAATTACATTAAACTGAAAATATAACTCTACCAAAGAAAATTCTTAAACTCACAACTTAAAAATAAACTATAGATTATTGAACTACCCTAAAAATAAAACACACGCCAAACTCAAACAACAAACCACAGCTATAATAAAGTATGTCACCACAGTTAAAAAGTTAATGGAATGAAAAAAAATTATTTAATAACTAAAATAGAGAAATAAAAAGTTTTAGCATTCAACCTAAAAATTACAATGAGTTTGTTTTTTCGGCACAAATGGAGTTATAGCATTTCATATAAAGGAATAATATAACCAGATTTTCAATTAAAAAACCACGAACATCAATGGAAATGGATTTTCATGGTTTAATGGTAGAACATAAAACAGTTAAAGAAGGTTTAACTATAAAAAAACTCAAAAGAAGATCCAAAACAGAATAACCTCTACAAAAGGGAGAATAATAATTACTAAAGCCTTAATCGTGAACCTCTTTTTGAGTTGTATTAGAAATTTCTTCATCAAAACTGAAAGGAACAGAAGAAAATAACATAGCCGATTTAAAATATGATGCATAGGAAAAAAAACCTTAAAATCAAACCCCTAATCGTACCTGGACTCGACGGATCCGCCTTCATAACTTGGAGGTGCTGTTGGATGTCAGATGGAAGTCTAAGATGAGGTGTAGCGGCGGGGAAGCAAAGATGGTGGGTTTAGCATGAAGAAGCTAGGGTTTCGACGACACGGATGTTAGAGGAGATATGAGGAGAAACAAAGAATCCTAATTGATTAGGAATAGAAATAATGGGAGGATGAGTGCCAAATAGGAGGAGTTACATAGTGGGGAAGACGTTAAATTGGTAATTGATAGAATGTGGGAGTCGAATGTTAAAGGAGGAGTGTTGCAGAAGCGAAAGAGAGACGGTAACAAATTATAGAAAAATCAAGAAATCAGCCTGCGAGATTGAGGGAATTGCCTATTTAAAAATTTAAATTGAAGAAAAATTAGGAAGACAATGAAGAATAAAGAATAGGCGGGATTTAGGTTTCTACGTAATTTGTTAATTTGGTTAAGGATGATGTCAGCAAAAAGATCTAATGGTGGAAAAGATAGAAATGAAATTTAATCAAGGGTCATACTTCTTTAGTTTATAATTAAGGGTTCTCTGTTAATAATATTTAGAGATTTTTTTATTTTTCTTATAAATTCAAAACTTCTCAAATATTTAGACCTTTATATTTAATTTTTTAGGGAAAATAACGCAACGGCTCTATTATGTATTTTGACTTTACCCTTTCAGTCACTAAATTTTTTTTCTTTCCTTTTAAGGGAACAAAATATTTTTTGTCG